TGTTGGGTACAGGTTTGGGAAGCACTGTTATATGGATTTTGTGGAAGTGAAGGATTCCTTCAGTGTATTTGGGAGAGGTAAGTGTTTAAACAGATGAAGCTAGCCATCTATGCTACTACTTTGCAGTAAACACACGAATGGCTTCTAAACAGGATGCTGCTGTCAAGCCATGAAGACTGTATCAAACAACGTATGTTGACTGTTCACATCAAGCAGCATATCAATTATGCTCATAGAGGTCATGCTTATGGGCCTCAGAACACGATTAGATATGATTCAACATTAAATTCAACATATGATTCTGCTGTTGGACAATATTGATTGAAAAAGCCAGATTCTAAAAAATGACACCAGAAGCTGGTTTAAACTCATCAGTCAGGCTCGCAGTGTAATGCATTTGCCATACTAGAAACTATATACACAGATAGTCCCAGGTTGCGGACAGGTTCAGTTCCTGAGTCCAGTTGTGTAAGGCTGCCCATGACAGCACAGCAAAAATGGCCGACGAAAGCCACAACACAAAAACATCGCAGTATGTTTAACAGGAATTAAAGTGTGTGGGAAAGGTTTGTGCTCTTAGCGCTTAAAACAATACTGTATGTTTAAATAAGATTGGATGTACAACATTCTTTGCTATCCTAAAGATAAGAAAAAAACTGAGTTCTGAGGAACTCAGACCCGAAACGTTAACTCTGATTTTTTCTTCACAGATGCTGCCAGACCTGCTAATCTTTTCCAGCAATTTTTTCTTCCGTATCTCTTATCAAGGACAGTGGCTAAGGGAGTTGGAATGGTGAGAAATCTCAAAGAAGACTCTGTTACAGACCTGTACAAAATAGCAGACACAGTTGAAGAGATAAAAGGTCACAAGTGACCATGAACAGTTTGGTTTCCCACATACCAAAAGTGCCCATTCAGATCACAGCAACAAGCAATTACTAATAGAGTGATGTACTGGAAACCCAATCACAGCTGAACAATCCAACATTAATTAACTAATAGTATACAGGGGGAGGGAGTATGTGCCACCATGTTAATGTTACAAGAAAAACATATAAAAGACAATGTACTTGTATTTAAAATTATAGTGTCATTGACTTTTCTTCTGATCCAAGCTGAAGATTAAGGGGGTAATTGGACCCTCATGTCGAGGCCAGATTCAGAGTAGTCTTTGACCACTCCCTGCATTGTACTGGTAGATGCATGAATAAATTGCCATGTGCCTTGAACTCTGCTGTCTCCTGAAAATTTATTACCTCCGTAAACGTGCTTCTACAGCTTTGGCACTGCAAGCAGTTTGTATATCAATTTGTATGCAAGTCAGAACATAACGCAGAACAGAATAAAGATGGTGTTTGCTTGGGTCTTTAAAAATACAACCCTGTACGAGATTGTGTTTATAATTATGAACGCCCATAAGACAAGGACCCCTGTATTAAGTAAGCAAAAGGAATTTGTCCATACATTTCTCTTTTTTTCTCCTTTGGGAAAGTAGACATGCACACACGCAATCGCAGTTGTATTCCCATGGCAATGCCATGACCAATCAGAGTCTGTCCGTCTGGTGTGAGAACTAAGATTGACAAAGGCCCAACCAATCACCACTCTCTCCTCAACCTGTCTAAATTGGTGTTCCTTTTCTGAATAAAAACTGAAAGAACTGCAGATGCTGTAAATCAGGAACAAAAACATTGAGAATTGATCATGTCTCTTGGTGAGACTGGTCTTAATACACACGGACAAAGAAGGACACGAATTTAACTGGGTCAACACATCCATAATAGTACGAGCCAAACAGAGACATACCAGGGAATTCCTGGAGGCCTGGCATTCCAACCGGAACTCCATCAACGAGCACATGGAACTGGACCCGATATACAAACCACTGAAAAACAGAACCGGAAGTGATGCCAACCACCCCAGCAAACCGAGGCATATAAATAACAAGCGGAACAGATCACCAATGCTTCACCGGAGGTGCACTGACGATATTACCCAGCAGAGTGACGAAACGTCTGCAATCAAACACACTGGCTCAGTGAGCAAGTCTACAACCTCAAATCTGTTTGTAATCAGATATATATTAACCACAATACTAGAAAAAAACTGCCCTGCTCTTAAAAATAATGTTATGGGGTCTTTCTTGCTAGCTCAGAAATCAGAATGGGCCTTAAATTAACACCCTATTTGAAAGACAATGCTTCCAACATTGCAGCACTTCCTCAGTACTGGACTGGAATGTCAACCTTCATTTTTGTGCTCAAGTGTCTGCAGTGAAACGTGAACCTGCAACTTCTGATTCAGAGGTAAGGACACACCTAACCTCCACAGTTTATAAAAGAACTGATGGTGGAAGCTGTTTTCTATCAGAACTGATATTTATTCTTCTTGAAAATAAAGTTGTACATGGCTGACATCTATACACCATCTACACTGCTAACATATTGGTACTCAAGATTATTCCGAGTGCAAGCATCAGCAAGAAAAGCTCTGATATTGGAATGAAAATTCCAGTTAACTGTCATAGGAGAATAAACATGTATTAAATGCTCTTGTAAAAGAGTGTTTTTAACAATCATTCAAATGAAAAACATTTGGCAATTTATTCTATGTTCATATGAAGGTTTGAAGAAGAAAGCTATCTCTTTTTTTGCTCCCTTTGTACATGGGGTAGACAACTAACTCTATAATGCCTGTGAAACATAGATATGGTTAACTATATTAAACAAACAATGCATTATTTAAAACATATTCCATCAAGGTGCTAAAACTCAAAAAAGGTCAGTTAACTGGTGGGCTTGTGGAATGCGTTGCCGACAGTGGTAGTGGAGTCAGATACTTTAGACACTTTTAAGCGACTCTTGGATAGGCACATGGAGGATAGTAAAATGTAGAGTATGGTAGATTGATCTTAGTAGGATAGTAGGTTGGCACAACATCGTGGGCCGAAGGGCTTGTGCTGTGCTGTACTGTTCTATGTTCTAATTGTAAAGGAAGTTAAGAATTGTGTTCAACTAGAAGAAATGGCTTTGAAGTGGCCAGAAGAAATAATAAATCTGAGAATTGGGAAGTTTTTATAACATTGCAAAGAGCAAAGCAAGAAACTGATAAGGAACAAGAGAATACAAATGCAATCTAGCATAAAACTATGAAGTTTAAAAGCTTCTACAGGTACATAAAGGAAACATCTGGTTAAGTCAAATGTGGATTAATTGAAAGCAGAATTAGGAGAATTTATAATAGTGAATAAAGTAATGGAGGAGAAGCTAAATGATTACTTTGTGTCTGGTTTCACTGAGGAAGTCACAAAAGTCTCCTGGAATTAGAGAATCAAGTGACTAGGAGAAATGAGTAATTGAAGGATATAAGTAAGAAGATTGTACTGGAGAAAATAATGGGGCTTTGAAAGTTGATAAATTCCTGGGATCTGACTGCCTCCATCCCAGAGTGTTGAAAAAGGTGCTATCGAGACAATCCATGAATTGGTAAACATTTTCTCAATTCCATTGACTCTGGAATGATTCCTGCAGATTAAAAGCTTCCAAATGTTACCCAACTGTTTAAGAAAAGAGCACAAGAAAGAACAAGAAATTACAGATCTGTCAGCCTTATACTAGTAGTGAAGAAAATGCTAGACTCTTATCATAAAGGAAGTGACAAATGTCACTTGGATAAAAATGATCTGACTGGACATAGCATGCATTTGCAAATGGAAAATCATAATTTAAAAACTGGCTGGAATTTTTTGAGGATGGTACCATAATTGTTAAAAGGGATGTTGTATGCTTCGACTTTCAGAAACCTTTTAGTAACATCCTTCCACTGCCAAGGCCCCTGCAGGAGGTTGGTTAGCCAAACTAAGGCACATGGTATATTAGGTAAAGGGCTGGAAGAGATTAAGGATTAACTAACAGACATAATAGAGAGAAGGAATAAATGGGTCATTAGTCTCAGTCTGCCAATGTGAAAGAGAGGTACTGCAATGATCAGTACTTGGTCTCCAGCTGTTCACAATGGTTTGGACGCGAGAACTAAATGTAATATTTCCAATTTCGCACAGGATATGAAGCTAATCAGGGATGTGTATTTGAGGAAGATGTAAAACTTCTTCAGGAGGATTTAGATAGAATTAGTGATTGGGTAAGAATGTGGTAATTAGAACATAATATGGAAAAACATGAGGTTATCCATTTTAGTAAGAGAACAGATGCACAGAATATTTCTTAAATTGAGTAAGGTTGGAAAGTATAAATTTGCAAAGGGACTTGGTGTCCTTGTTAATAAGTTACTGAAGGCTAATGTGCAGGTACAGCTAAAGGAACGTTAGCTTGTATTGCAAGATAATTTAAGTATGAGTGGTGATGCCTTGCTTCAATTATATGGCAGCTTGGTTAGACCACACCTGAATACTGTGTGTTGATCTCATTTTTTCAGGAAAGATTTTATTGTCATTGAGGGAGTGCAAAGAAGATTCACCAGACTTGTTCCCAGGATGGTGGGACTGTTCTGTGAACACAAGCAAACTGAGGCTGTATTCATTAGAGTTTTGAAGAATGAGAATTGATCCCATTGAAACCTACAAAATACTTAAAGGAATAGACAAGGTATCTGCCGTTAAGATGTTTCCCCTGGTTGGGAGTCTAGAACCAGGGAGCACAACTTAAAAATAAGTGGGATGCCACTTAGGACCAAGATGAGAAATATTTTTACTCAGAGGGTGATCCATCTTTGGAATTCACCATCCCAGAGGGCTGTGGAAGCTTAGTCTTTGAGTATATTTAAAGTAGATGTTGATACATTTTTGATTATCAATGGCATAAAGGATTATACAGATGGTGTGGGTAAAAGGCACTGAAGTGTTTGATCAGCCACGATCATATTAAATGGCATAGCAGGCTTGATGGGCTGAATTGGCTAGTCCTGCTCTTATATGAAACCAGCACTCAACTAACATGCATTACTTAATTACAAAAAATTAGGAAAAAAATGCACTACCAGCATTCAACTTTGTAACCGTGAATCTTTAATCATACATTATGTAGATCTTTAATCTATGACCCTCATCTCCCAGGTTGCAATAAATTCCCTTATTGCTGTGATTATTCTTCAAGCAGGAATGGAGAATATTCTGGACTGGCAGCACATCTTATGATTATGAAGAAAATTACCTCTATAGGTGAATGACTGAACATTCCTCTTACAAAGAAACCCTTTGTATCCCAAGTCTTGCATCTGGAAGAACTCAGAAAATCTGGTTACCAGCTACAGCAAGATTCAAATTCCAGCTGGAGAACCACGATTCTGTCTCAAAATCAGTTGAAGCCAGTTACGCTTGTAGTTTAATTACAATGAACATTATTATAAATTAGTACCATTTCCTGATTTTAATTAATACCGTAACGACAATATTACACCCTTTCCCAAGGTTTGAGCTTCCTTGCCATTTGTGAAACAGTAGGTGCACTATTAATTGATGTAATGTTCCGTTTTTGAATGCCAGGAATTTCTTGTCCACTTTGCACAAGATGCAGTACTTGAGCGAAAGAAAGGGTGCAGCTTCCTCCACTAACTTCCGTGGTAATAGCAGAAAGATTTGTAATGTCACCAACTGTTTTATTTTCATGGGATTCTTTTACTTGGCTATCCTCTGTTAGTTCATAGGAAGCGTTGTGATCATTACCTCCTATCTCTTCACTAATCTGAAGGTGCATTCTTGCATCCTCAGTTTTCTCTGCTTGTTGATCTATGGGTAGTGAGTTTGTGGTCTCTATTGTTGCTGATTTGTCATTTTGTCCTTGATCACTTGGAGTCGGTCTGAGCAGCCTCTCAAAAGCCTTTGTCATATCTTCCTCTACCGCTAAGTCATTCTTGGCATCGATAATTTGTGAAGAAAGCCATCCTTTGTAGCTTTCCAGATCAATGGGTCCAATAAACCTAGAAAAAGTGGGAGTTTTATTTGATATATCCACACAAATGCCACTGCCTAACATTAACCCAAGCAAAAGCTAACTGTCACAATATCTCAAAAGAAAGGGAAACAACAAGGTAAACTTGAAAAAAATGCTGCATTTATGTACAGCAATGTGTTCTTAAGCATGTTTCAAGGAAATATATTTGTCATTTAGATGACACTGATATATGCACCACCCACCCCTCTGATTTGACATGTCAAGACTGATTGTGTCACCACTTTGCATTGTGCCACATTATTATGTCCATTAGAGTCAGAGTCATACAGCATAGAAATTGGCCCTTTGGCCCTGTCTATCCGTGCTGACACCTTCAGGGATGCGTGGACTTGTAAACCAAGGTCACTATGTTCCATAACATTCCTTAGGAATCTACTACTGTGCATGTCTTTTCCTTATTGGACCGCCTAAAGTGCATCACCTTGCATTTAGCAGGATTAAATTCCATCTGCTATTGGCTTGCCCAATTCACCAGCTGATCAATGTTAGACTCTAGCCTGAGACCATCCTCCTCACTGTCTAAACACTCCCAAACTTTGTATCATCTGCAAACTTACTAATTAAACTTCCAAATTCACATCCAAGTCGTTAATGTACGTAACAAATAGCAAGGGTCCCTGGCACCAATCCCTGTGGTACACTGCTGCCTGAGCTTCCAATTACAAAAAAACCCTCAACCATCATGTTTTGCCTCCTATTTATAAGCTAATCTTGGATCCAGTTTGTCAACTTGCCTTGGATCCCATGGGCTGTTACCTTTTGGACCAGCCTTCCATGTGGGACTTTGTCAAAGTCCTTGCTGAGGTCCACTGTTTAAAAGGTAATAAAGCATTTAATTTGCATAATACGATTCCTTGATTTTGAGTACTGTAGAGGAGATATTGTCCCTTATTTGATGTAGAATATGGACCCAATGAGCTGAATGACCTCTTTATATGCTATATGATTCCATGACAGTTAGTGTCAATCAACATGTAGAGCTTTTACATGCTTTCCAAAGCTATATCTCTCTTTTGAAAATTGTAGGTAAACATCATAGGCAGACAAAAATACTGACGTAATACTATAGATAACCACCATAATGGTTTGAGATTAATTTTTAATTGGTTATAAGAACCACCAGACACATCAGCTACAATACAGAAACAATCATATTATACAACAGACACGAATTATTAATATATAACTCAGATTGACACTGTTGGTGTATACGTAACAACATTTTATTATGTTATTCAGATGCTTCTTCCTTCGAAATATCATGAATCAAGGTCACTTTCTTACTAAATGGCAAAACTGCTAACTCTAGACATTACGTAACTTTTTATGAACAGAAGTTATCTATTATTGCACATGTAAACCATCTGGATGCTGTCATATTAGCACTACAAAGGAGTAGGTAGAAAGCAGTGATTTTTGATTCTGAACAAAATAAATGAATTAACGGTATAAATATAAGATAATTGGTAACATCTTATAGCCATTACAAACATGTGATTGCAAGAAGATCAAAGCTGGGAACTATATATAATTAGGGGCATGTGACTTTTCCAAAAGACAGGCAGGAAGGGTGGAGGGGTAGCATTTTTGAAAAACAGGATGGAATAAATACCAAAGCAAGAAATGGTCTTGGGTCAGAGGAGATAAAATTTATATTACTGCCAGGGCTTCTCTGAATCTACTTCCTTTAAAATCCTACGATGCATCCCATCAGGTCCAGATAATTTATACTGGAAATGTTCCAGAGGATTGGAAACCTGTCAACGTAACACCTTTATTTGAAAAGGAAAGAGACAAAAATCATAGTAATAGGCCAGATTGCTTAATTCCTGTTATTGGGAAAATATTAGACACTATTACAGAGGATATACAATGGAGTCGGCCTCATTTGGGGCATTTAAGTGGCTACTAGATAGGCATATGGATGATAGTATAAGGTAGGGGTGGAGGTTAGATAGACCTTAGGATTAGGGTAAAAGTTTGGCACAACATCGTGGGCCGAAGGGCCTGTACTGTGCTGTACTATTCTGTGTTCTATATATACTGGCAGAATATTTAGAAATTTATAATACAATTAAGCAGAGTCAGCAGGTGGAATCATGCCTGACAAATTTATTATAATTCTTTGAGTAGGCAACAAGCAGGATGAAGTGCCACCCATTAAGCTACTTAATAAGCATATAGTATAGGATGTAGTATATAAGCATGGATAGAGAACTGGCTAACTAATAGAAGACAGAGAATTGGGATAATGGGGGCATTATCAGCATGGCAACCTAAAACTAGTGGAGTGCCACAGGGATCAGTGCTGGGTCACAATTATGTACCATATTAATTAATGGCATGGATGACGGAAGTGAATGTATTATTGCCAAGATTGTGGATAACACAAAAGAGGTGGGAAGGCAAGTGTGTGAGGATGGCAGGAAAAGTCTGCAGTGGGATACATTTGGGTTAAGCAAATGGACAACAACTTTGCAGATGTAGGATACTGAGTGAAAACTATTTTACAATGCAAAATTCCTCCTGTGTGCATTCAGAATGCTGCTAAAGCTGTTCACATTAAACTGGTAGAAACACCAAAGTGGAAGCTGTGTGCCTGTACTGCAAACAAATAATTGTAGTTTTCTTTTTTTTTGGAAGTCAGCATGTGCACAGAAACTGCTGCCATTCAGGAGGAAAGATCAGCATTCTGTTTCCACAAAAATATCAGAACAGAAGAATGAAGAAAGGCTTATCATGGAATGAGGATCACTTAACAGCTCCAGGTAACACACTCTGAAGAGGTTGTTGCACTGCCTGCCTGTCTTCCATGATTATGTTCATGCTTGGGTGTCCTTGCAGAGGGAGCACATGTTGTCCACTATAATGTTTCAGGCGTTCTGCAATCAGTGGGGCTGGGGTACGTTAACACCCGACAAATTGTATTTCCATTTAAATATAGCAGTCTCTTTGTCATTTGATTTTGATTGTGGTGCTTTTTGGAGCTTGTCTGCTCCAATTTTGTTTGATTTGTCTATGTACAATAGTAAAATAATTGCCATAGTCCAATAAGAGAGGGAGAGGACTGGTAGGTGCTTTAACCTGAGGGTGACCACGCCTCAGGCAATGTTGAGAAGGTGGGACCTTCATGGCAGCTTCAGCTGGTGTGGGAACTGGCATCGTTCTTCCAACCAACTGAGCTAACCCACCCACTTAAAATAATAGCGAGTAAAACACAGATGAGAATATAATAAGATAAAACAAAAAGGAAGGGGGTCGGAGTGTTAAGAATCAAGTTTCTGATTAACGAGAATGGCAAGTATCTGGAGCTTGGCTCTTGAGATGATGCAGCTGGATTAAAACACACTGAAACCAAACGGCACCATGTCTACCTGCTGTAATAGTAGATCTTGGCCTCGAGAAGCCGCTCCTCAGAACACCGCACTGCCTCTCCGAACTGGGCCAGACCTCGCTGGAACACCTCGTCAATCTCGAATTGATATCCATGAAACCGCCTGCACTCGGCCTCCATTACTCAGGGGGCTCTTGCTGTCAAGAATCCGCAGCCGTGCGCCCCCTGCCGCCTGGAGGATCGATCGGGCTCCCGCAGCACCGGAGCGCAGGCTGGAATGCGCGGCCGTGCGGCCGTGCGCCCCCTGCCGCCTGGAGGATCGATCGGGCTCCCGCAGCACCGGAGCGCAGGCTGGAATCCGCGGCCGTGTGGATCGGGCTCATTCATTCATTCATTCATTCCCGTACCCTATCTTAGCTTCTAGCAGAGCCGTGTTCGTAACTGCATGAGTGTAGAAAGAAATAGCATTAGCCCGTCCCTCTAGTAGTTACATATCCATCTTTACTTGTGTTGACTAATAAATATTTATAGCATAAATTACTGGCTAAATTAGAGTTGGGGTCATATTAACTAGGCCAGCAACCCAAGACAACTGATATCACTGCGTTGTTATTAGCACAGAGGCCGTCGTTTGATCCATTGTGTCTCACTAGCTCTCCAAATGAATAATCACTTAGCGTCATTGTTCCCTTAACTTTGTATCATCTTCCTTTTCAGATAGCAACCTAATTCCATCTTGAATGCTTTAACTCACCTGCATCCACCACACACACTCATACATTTCAGACCTTAACACTAACTCACATCACTTTTGCTTCTTTTGTTATTACTTTAAATCTGTGTCCTCTCATTCTTTTACACCAGTGGGAGCAGTCTCTCCCCACTATTTAGTCCAGATCCATCATGGAGTTGAATATCTCTATCACACTTTCTCTCAGCCTTCTCCAATGAAAACATCTGTCTTCATAATTGAAGTTGCTCATTGCTGGAACCATTAGTGTGGCACCCAGAACTGGCCCCAGTACTCCAACTGAGGCTGAATTTGTGTCTCACAGAAGTTCAACATAACCCCCTTGCCCTTGTAACTATACCTCTATTAATAAAACCTAAGTTACTAGATGCTTTATTATCTGGTCTCTCAACCAGCCCTGCCACTTTCAACTACTTATGCCCAATGTACATAGGTCCTTTTTGAAGGTAGCACATTGTTAAGCTGTCATTTTTTCTGCCAAACCTTGGCTCCAATTTGTTCTGTTCAGATCCATTCTAAGCCCACTGATGTTGACTTTCCTTTGATTTAATGTTCCTATTCTGGATTGTTCCCTATTTTTACCAATGACGTCAGTATTCATGTGAACCGGGACTGCTGACTGTTCAGTCTTTCCTCACAATGCTCAGCTGTTCTTTGGCATCCTTGACCTTGGCACCAGAAACGCAACACCATCCTTGATTCATGCCTGTGATTGCAGAAATGTCTATCTACCCTCCTATTGAATCACCTACTATTATTTTTCTTCCAGTGTCCCACCTCTCTTCGCCCTGAGCAGCTGAGCCATCCATTTTGCCGTGGACTTGGCTCTGTCTGCTCTGCCCAAATGAACCATCACTCTCAGCAGTATTCAAAACTGAATACTGGTTGAACAATGGGATACATTTAGGGAACTCATGCACCAGCTGTGTACTTCTTTTTGACTGCCAGGTGGTCACCTGTTACCACGCTGCCTGTGCACTATTAAGCTATGGGGTGATCACATCTATAAATGTAATACAAATGTAGCTTCAGGGATGCACCAATTGCTGCTCAACTTTTGAAACCTAGAGCTGCTGCAACTGATGACACTTCCTGCACGATGCATTCTTGAAGCATCCTGAAATTCCCACATTGATATGCACTCTCGAGGTTGGAGATCCATGCAATATTCCAGTTGTTATTAACACAGGCATAGAATATAAAAGCATGTTGTTGAAAATGTACAAGATACTAGTTTGGCCTTAGCTGTAGCATTGTTCTGGACACCGTGAATTTGAATTTGAAGGTATTGAAGAGGGTACAGAAGAAGTTTGTGAGAACGGTTCCGGGGAGGAGGAACTTCAGTTATGAAAGTGGATTGGAAAAGTTAGGACTGTCTTCCTTGGAGAAGAGAAGTCTAAGAATAGATTTAATAGCTATTCAAAATTATGATGGGCCTGAATGGAGTAGATAGGTAGAAAGTGTTCCCACTCATGGAGGACTGAGAATGAGAGAACACAAGTTTAAAGTCATTGGCAAAGAAGCAAAACTGACAGAGGATAATCTTTCTCACACAGAAAGTGATACAGGTCTGAATGCACTGATTGAGAGTCTGACAGAGGCAGGTTCATTTGATTCGTGCAAAGGAAATTAGATTTTTATTTTGAAAGAAACAGTATGAAGGGTTATAGGAGGAAGCAGGAGAATGGTGCAGACTTAATGGTCCAAATGAGCTCCTCCTGCATAATAATTCTGTGTGATTCCAAGTACACCACTTCACTAGCCTATCACCAGAGGCTGTAGCTTGACGGGTGCCATGCTGCATCAAGCATGGTTGAGCTGGTGACTCTGCCAACTACCAGAGGCATATTGCAAGGGTTTACAGATTAATAATCAATCTATTTGGGTATGATGTAAATGCACCTTCTGTGATCATCAAGTCCTGAAGTGGGACTTGAACTCAGAACTTTTGGTTCAGAGATAGGAACACTACCACCGAGACACATGACTTTCTTTAAGATGAGTTAGCATCCTTAAAATTCAAGATATTGTGTCTGACCATATATCAAGCTTACTGTCAAGCTAGTCTGTTTTTCCCATTCATAACCCTCAGATTGTGTGCTGCTGACATCCTCATCCGAACCGTTGTTACCTCCAAACTTAAATATTGTAATGCACCTTAACCAGCCTCCCATCTTCCAACTTACATAAACTGTGCTCCTCCATAACACTTGTACCCATCTTAATTGTTTTAAATTTATGTACTCTTCATCCATGTGCTCATTGACTTACTTTAGCTTCCAGTCAAGCAGCTTACTGATTTTAAAATTCTTATCCTTGTTTTCAAATTCCTTAATGGCCTTGCAGCTCTCCAACTCAAAAGCCTTCTCCAAACATATTCAAGATCTCTGCATTCCTCGATTCTGCCCATTTGGGCATCCCTGATTTTAATCACTCCACTCTTTGTAGCTGTGCTCACAGCTGTCTTAGCCCTAAGCTCTGACATTTCTTCTCTAACTTTCTCTGCTTCTCTATGCACTAAGATGCTCCTTAAAATGTTCACTAAAAATCTACTTCATATTATATTATTTGTCTTGACAAGTTCCTTTAGGAGAAAAGGATTCAAGTTGTAAAAAAATTATTTGATGCAGCAATATGATTAAACATTGATCTGGTAAACTGCAAATTCGATGTTACATTTATCCTTAAATGCAATACATTCTCAAACTTGCAATTTATTTTTCATGTCTTTAAAGGAAACAGGAACTTACTGTTTCCTTTCTGTATTTTTGAAACTGGATAATAACATGATAGATAAAATCACCTTCATGTGAAACACACAATAATTAATCTGCAATTTATATTGAAATTCTGAACATCTCATTAACATACATCAAGAGTAATTTTTGTGCAAGACAATCAAATCTATTTTTAAAACTCATTATTCAGCAAATCCTATTTTTTTCAGTCACTGAGTGTCACAGAAGGAAGCGTCCTTCAATTGGTCAGTTGATTGATGAATTATACTTGTCACATATTTTCCACTTTTCCCAAAAATGCAGGTAATGAAAATACATTCCACCGCCTTTGTTACAAATGGAGACAAGAATTATATCATCCAGCTGATGAATTAACTGGCACTGTCAAGGCTCACAAATGAATAATAAATTGGTGTTTGGGCATAAAGTACCAGTGAATGTCTAGCACCTGATAAACTTTAACCCAGCTGAATGTCAACATGAGGTAGAGAGGGAAAATGAAGTAGTTGGAATTATGTTGACGATTAACCACTGAATCATTGAATATATTTTGCTTGTGTTTTAAATTCTATGAAGTCCATTTTTGGAATATCTCTTTCAATCAAATAATCAATTTTTGGATGTTTATGAATGAAAATTCTGACAAACGATTAAAAATGGACAGATCTTGCTGGCTACTGAGATTTTCAACCTCTTTAATTGCAGACACTCTGAAAACAATTCCTTCCCAAATGGCATTGTGGTTCAACCCTCAGCAGGTGGACTGCAACTGTTAAAGGAGGCAGCTCATTACCACCTTCTCAATGATAACTAGGGACAGGCAAGAAATGCTGGCCAGCCAGCGATGCCCATGTCCGAGAAATAAATAAAAGAAAATTACTACTAATTGTAATATTTAACTTGCCACCATTGAATACTGTTTTCTAGAATCAGCAGTTCTGTTAAAATGTTGTTGTTTTTCTTTGTGCTTATGCTGTCCTCTCCCAAAATTATGACATCTTCCAAAGAGACAATTTGACATGTACCAGTCACCGATTAGTATCTTGCTGTATTATTTATTATTTGCATGTGGGGGTCAATAGTTGACCATTAACTTATGTAACATGGGCCTTGCAGAGCCTGATTCTTTCTTCATCCAATTTGATACACTCAAATGGACTCACTGGAAAGTTCACTGGATAGCAAACAGTATTTGACCCTCCCTACCTCGCTGAAAATGACCCTAATTCCCATGAGGCTACCAAGGTCAGTTAATTCAGCACAGATTGAAATTTGAACATGAACTTTCTTGCTTATTCTGATTGAGACTCATTGCCTCAACAAATTAGGTAATTTTCATTCAATTTGAGAAATTCAAAGATATCAGGAATGTTTTACTGTAATGATGACCTGTCCAAGCAGTCTTTAAAGGACATCTTTCTAATTACAGCACAGTTATTTGGAAAAGGAAAGCAAGGTGAGAAAAATCATCACAACACTTCACCAATGTAATACCATGATAGTGATCTAATGCAATTGTGTACATTTTTACAAAGATTTGTTGAGCATTTTTCTGATACTCTTGTTGCTTCTAAACAGAAACAAAATTATTGATTTTGCTGTTAATTATGTCAACACGCTTTATCCACATTAATTAAAATGTAAACTAATCTTAGTATGATAAAATACTATAATATCCCTGAGATTTGAAGATGGTACAAACAAAGCACCACACCTTAAACTATGTATAATCA